CCAAGATTCTTGTTCTTCAATGCAAGAATACAAAGCAAAGAAATTTATAATTTTAGACAACTACTTATAAGTACAAAATATTGTAAATAATATGTATATTATTTTTTACCATGTTTGTTAAAATATAAGTGTGCATGTGCACATTTTTAATTTTTCAAAAAAGAAAGTAGTCACATCTAGCTTATTGTTTTCATATCATTTTTCATATCTTAAACATTTATAAACTAAGCATTAAACATTCCAAGTACGTAGTAAATCATGCATATTTCAACAACAGTAATTATAAATTTACAATGATCTATCAAAGATTAAGACCCCTTTCAAAAACTTGAAAAAACTAGCAACAACTTTTATAAAATAAAAAAATATTTAAAATTTGTAAATGATTACTAAAATGTCATTCAATTTAGATTACTGAATAAGATCCAAAGGAAATTTCTTCTCTTCTGATTCCTGATTATATTTGGCTTAAAAAAAGTCTCTAAGAGTCTCTGAAAAAGTCTCGCCAATTGTTTGCAAAGTAGCAGTCTTCTCGTCAACAAGTGAAGATGCTATTTCAAAAAAGTCTGTTAGATTAATTAAGCCTTTCATTCATATACCAAAATATTTCAAACGATTGCATATATTTAGAATGAGAAACAAAAATATTGAAAGAGGCGTTAACATAATGGTCGAAATCAAGAGTAAATTGCATGAGTTAAAATAAATAATTATATTTTTGATGGAATGAATTATATTTTTAATTTACCATTGTTTTATAAGCGATTGATTGCTCTTTGTTTTCTGTCTTACAATCAGTTTGATTTGAGCCATAGCTCTAAAATTTCCAGATAATGTGCGTCTAAAAGTTAACCCAAGTAACATTTTCCTCTACCTCTTATACTTTCGCCAGTAAAATATGTAAATGCTTTAAAAACATGCAGTTGTTGCTATATGTTGCCTGGTTCCGAAATTATAAGCATACATATATTTATATACAGAAAAATTTTATTTGTTAATAGGCTATAGCTCGAAAACGAACGTAACTAGGACCTCTTCCCATCCCCACCGACCCAAACAAATTTTTTGCTGCAAATTGATCATTATAATTGTTCAATCAGTGTTTTTTATAGCCTATTTCATTCACTTTTTTTAGCAAATTTTCAGGAAAATTAAAAAAGAAATGCTAAAAAGTAATGATAAATCCCTTTTTATCAAATTTCATTTATTGACTGTTTATATTTTGACTGTTATGTTACTGCTCTTAAATCTAATTTTACGCTGTTAAGTTGTACTTCTAGCAATTTAGTAAATAATTTATACAAAATAAAATTGTTTCATATATTCCAGTTTCTTGTACCCAGTTATAATATTCATTTTAATTTTTGACACCAGGTGTTGTTTAAAATTTAATTATATATATATAGCTACTTCTCAGGTGGTAAAAAGTACGGATACTTCTAGAAGGGCTAGAGACATGGAACAAAAGGCATTAGATAGAGTTTTGCCTCCAGGGTCCCAGAAAAATCTGACATTGGAACTTTTTAGCCCCGAAATAGCTCTATTTTAAGATTTTCTGAAAAAATTTTTGTATAACAAAAGCAGGTTTTTCTTTTATACTTTTTATAATTAGAAACACAAACCAAGAAATAAATGATACGTTTTACGTTATTTTTATTATTAGAAACACAAACCGAGAAATAAATAATATTTGAAAATGCAATGATCTCACATATATTTTAATTTCGAAAAATCGAAATAAACTTAAATAAATGTCAGATTTTATAAAAGACATCAGATGTTTTGTGGCAACTGAATATTAATGCTTCATTTGTTATTGTTTTGAATATTATGTTTCGTCAGCAAGCTTTAAAAAAATATACATACACAATTTATGTACGTATGTATCTACCTAAAAGTTTAATTTTTATTGTTCGAGCGAAAACCTGTAAAAAATGCTAAATTCCAATACATTCATATATACATACATACACACATATATTCATATATACATTCATACACATATTTTTACATACATAAATTATTATTTTGTTTTTGACTAAACCTTTTCTTTATGTTTAAAATTCAATCCTATATGTTTACCCACAGTTTAAAAAAAACAGGTATCCATTCATAATTATGTATATTTGCATTTATAATTTTATTTATAATTTTTCCAACAGCAAAATTTCAAAATTTTCGATTCTAATACATTCATATATACATACACACATGTATTCATATATACATACTTACATATATTTTTACATACATAAATTATTATTTTGTTTTTGACTAAACCTTTTCTTTATTTGAGAAATTAATTTTTGTAAGTTTACCCCCATGATATAATAATTATGCGTTTAAAATTTATTTCTATTTATTCTACAGTTTTGAATATTATTAAATTCATATAGAAAGCTTAAAAAAAATTACTCAGTAAGCTTTAAAAAAAATATACATACTACATACATATTTATGTACTTAAAATTTTTGCGAATTTTTCCAAACTATTATAAGAATATTTTTTTGGAAATTTTCTTTAAACTTTTATATAACATTTATCAGTTATATATTAAAAAAAAAATAAAACACAAAATTTAAACAAAATAAAAAAAAAAAAATTTAAAATAATCCAAAAAAAGAAAAATACAACATCCAGGCAAGCATTGATCCAATAACCTTCTGGCTATGAGACTACCACGCTAACCACTAGGCTACGCAGTACCTTGAATTTCCCTTAATAATTCTATATTTTATTCATATATCGTATAACTCATCAAAAACCATCATATTTTACATTATATATATATAGCTACTTCTCAGGTGGTAAAAAGTACGGGTACTTCTAGAAGGGCTAGAGACATGGGACAAAAGGCATTAGGTAGAATTTTGCCTCTAGGGTCCCAGAAAAAGCAAGGATTCCACCCGTCCGGCCTCCCCCTTCACCCCCTCCCAAGATGTTTTGTAACCGTTTTTTACAAAATGGTTTTACATCCTGTAGGGGTAATTTTTTACTTACTTTTGGAAGTATTAATATTGTATATAAATTCATTTTTGGAAGTGTGAGTTAGAACAAAAAATGAAAACTTTCTTAAGAAAATTGTTTTAATAAAATCTACATTGTTTTATAATAAGTGTGTACATATGAATTTAGTTGTGCATTCTTTTCGGGATCTGTTGCAACATGTATTAGAAAGCAAAACATAAGTTTACATTAAACTCCTTGACAATATATTTTTAGGGTAAAATTTTATAAGATAATGTTATTCTATTGCATTAAACTTTTTAGGTAAAAAGTAGGGTAAAATTTTTAGAACGGAAACTCGCTGATATTGATTTGGTAAGGGTGAAGGTTTTTTAATTTTATTTTAAAAAAAAATAAAATTATCAATAAAAAAAGTTGATCTGGCAAATCGCATTTTGCAGGGTTCGAACCTGAGACTTTTCGCATAGAAATCGTATGCAATACGTATTACCCTATATACGTTAGTATTGGTGTTAACTCATTCTACAGTCACGCGTTTTATTCGCATGTATTATAAACTCCAAATACATACGTGCATGAATTGTAGTTTATAATTAACAATAATTTATGGCTAAAAGTGTTTATTGTAGAAGGTATTTAACTCAAAGTGAAGTTTTAAAATAAATTACTCAAAAGGTATTAGATTTCAAAGGAACTAATTATTTGTTTAATTATGTATTTTTAGGTAATTATTTCTCAGAACTTTTTTATTTTAAGTTTTAAGTTTTATCTTATTATTTATCAGGAAAAAACATATCTATATCTATATTATGGGTGTGTTTTTGAAGAAATAAAGTAAACTTAAAATATCTCAGCCACAGAATGGAACACAATTTCAAAACTACAGGCATCATACTTGCAAGGCTTGCAATGCAAGCACACACGACTAGTATATTATATTATGAACAATATAGAAAAAATTGAAAATGGTTCTTTGTTAAGAAAAGGCAACACGAAAAAAAAATATGAAAATGCTTTCAGAAAATGTACATACACATACAATTAAATAACATATTGAAAATAAATGTGTTAATTTCATTTTGAAATAATTAAAGTTCTACATAACTTGAATTAATTTTCATAGCATAAGTAATGGTTTAAACTTTTATTTTCATATTTTGAAATCTTATGAGATCAATGCCACAAACATTTTAATTTTTTGCAAGAGATTTTTTTTCTGATTTTGTATAACTTTGCTTGTTTTGTGGGCTAAATTAATATAAAGTATACAATACTGCCTTTGAAAATATATAAATTGAAATGTGCTTTATTACAAACCCTTTATTCGACTCTGGCTCTACTTTATAAATCCATAAAATTTTTTCAAAAAATATTTTAAATCAATCAAATTCGATAGAGTGAAACTGAATAATAAAAAAAATAATAATTACTCGTATAACCACACGTAAATTTATCTGCAAACTTGTTTTATTTTCCGGAATTTATTATTCTTCCTCCTACAATCACAATTTAGATAAATTAAGTTAAAGTTAAGAGCACTTTTCATTTTTAGAAAATCGCAATCGAATTTACTTTTATTCTAATCAAAATAACCTTCTTATTTAGTATAAAAATCCGAATATGCTTTTGTCAAAGATTTCTTGGAATTCAAGTACCTGTAAGGTTTAGGAATTATTAAATAAAAAAAAACCCTTTTTTTAATTATACATATTATTTATTTTATTTGTTTATATACATATGCGGATATACATATAAATCCCTTTTACAGAATGCATAGAAAATATCACATTAACTTAAATCAAAATTAATTAAAGTTTAATTTAATAAAATGAATTCAAATACTCATTTTAAGAATGAAATTGTAACAAATGCCTAGAATAGAATTATTAACAGCTATTAAATATATTCAATAATAAAATAAAAATATATAAGTAGTTGTAAAGTGATTTGAAAAATAAAATCACATTGTTTTTAAATATTTTAACCAATAAATTATACAATTCAAAAAGTGGTAACAACTCTGATAGGAAGTTTTATGAAATAAATTTTGGTTTCATTAACGTTAACATAAAATATTGTAAAATTAAGTGAATTGTTAAGCCTTTCGTAAATTTTTAAATTTTTAATTATCGGTATTAAAACTATTAAGTACATAATTTTTTCAATCTGTTCATTAAAAAGAAGGCAAAATTGAATCTGAAGCAAAATCTAGGCTTTTTCATGAAAAAAAAAACTTAAATATGCCAAAAAAAAATTTAATTGTTTCGAAACTTTAAATTAGCTTAGTCGACCATCATATAATTTCACTATGAAAATTTATATATTGTTGAAGCTTATACAAGGCACTAAATTTTGAATCGTAAAAAAATATTATCTTTAATCATAAATTTTAGGTCATTTTTTAACATAGTTTAAAACTTAAGTATTTCCTTTTTAATTGTCTTCCGTTGTTGATGTTGTGTTTACACTAGATTCTGATTTATTTGCGGTCTTCAACGGTAAACTAAAAATAAATCATAAATTATTTGAAAATAATTTCAAAATAAATAAAAATTTTAATTAATATTTATCAAAAAATATATACATGCGCATTAAAATTTGACTGCATAATCAAAAATGAAACTTCACAATAATGATTATTAGCCAAACCCATATTGTATTTATATCATGTAAATTTGAAAAGTTTAAAAATAATTTCTTAAAGATTATATTTTTTTAATTCACAACGCTTACAATTTTAATTATAAATATTCGCATATTAAAAAATTTTGATCCAATTTTCCAAAAACAATATGGTTTTTCTTTTTTTTATAGTGTTGGCCTCACCTCAGTTCATCTTTCTATGATTAGTACATACTGATTATAATAAAATACTACATTAAATTTTGAAAATATGTAAAAGTATTCAAAATTTTTATAATTCATCTTTAACGTCCTTTTCAATTATTTTTTCATTATCTTCGTTTAATGACTCTTTAATTTTTATTTCAAGTGAAATATCTTCGACGCTGCCCATCACCTTAATTCTAGATTTTTCTTGAGTAATTGTGTTTGGAACATATGTAACTGTGTCAGTGTTATTGTGTACTGTAGGATATTTATCCATTTCATTTTTAATTTCTGATGGATCTGGACTAGCAAAAGTTATTCTTGAACCATAAACCGTTCTACAAAAATTTTTTAAAAAAATTTGTGTTAAGAAACAAGTATTTACTTATGTTTGCTTGTACAATTAATGTTTTTAGAAAAAATAACAGCATAAAATACCCAAAACCTCCAAAGGTACGATGGTAAAACAGGTAAAAAGAAAAAGAAGAAAAAAAATTTACATTATTTAGAAATTACTTGAAGAATTATGTCCGATTAATTTTTTTTTTTGCATTTTTAGAAATATAAAACATGATTTTCTTAAAATTAAAGATTTTAAGCATATTTTATACAATGTACAGCAGTTCTATGATATATTTAATGTCGCCTGTATGAAGAGCCCCTCAATTTTTTTGGTTGGCTATAAGAGAAAGAAATGTGAAGAAAGAATAAAAAAATTTTTAAGAACTCATCCTTATTCAAAAATAGTGAAATAGAGATTTTCTGTTCTACATTGCTCAAAAAAAATCCCAAATAATTTTTTAATTATTCTTCTGTTTATACCTATCCTTTGCCTGAAATTCTGATTGAACTTGCAAATTTCTTGGCCGTCTAAAATCACATTCCAATGAAAATGCAGCATCCCCAGGTGTTATAAGTTCAGGGTCGTTCTGTATTACAACGATATTTGAAAATACATCGCCATCCTTCAATGTTTGGCATTGATCAAAATTAAATTTCATTTCTAACGAACGGGATCCACGACTTGTTATTGGTTTTGTAAAGCAAGGTTCAACTTTTTTATAAAAACTGCCCCGAGTATACATAACACCAGTAAATTCTTTTTCGGTTTCTAATGTTACATGCATTGATTCAGCTCCGCATTTCAAATTAACACGTTGGATACCTTGATCACTACCATCTAGTTTGAATGAATCAGTCAAATCTTTTTCCCATATATCTGCAACAATATTCAATTAAAAAAAAATTTTTTTTAAATTAACTCGACTTCAATAATAAGGAATTCGTAAAACATGAAAAAAAAACAAAAGTAAATTCCATACCAGGAAATAAACGTTTTATATACCTATTCAACAATATCTACTACTAGCCTAAATTATGCAATCTCACTAAAACTCTATACAAATGGAAACCTATAATAATATCATTATTTTTATCATAATCAACCACTAGTTATATTAATAGCAACCAAATATAAAAGATTGCATTTCCTTTTTCCTGAAATTCTCTTTTGAATCAAACAACTTTTATACAAAACGTAATACATACAATCAAATTAACAAGCACATGTACTTGCAGTTAAAGAAAATTATGTATATGTATACAGATACTATATAATTACGTACATTTTTTGTAATTTCTACATTTTCTTCATAGATATTATTGCTCTTGAAGTCTCTAAAAAAATTTTATTTAGTTTGGTAATAAACTTTAGTTGACAAAGCCCATCATTACAAATTTGTCGTGAAAAATTTTTCCGCTGTTTTCACTTCTTGCATCTTACATAACTTTTATCAAATATTAATAAAGCAGCAAACTTTAAATGAACAAAATTGCATAATATGCTTTTTACTAACTAGGTACATCTATCTTCATATTGGTAATTACTAATTTTATGAAGTAAATAATATGCTAAGTATGATGAAGTACGAAAAAGGTATTTCAAGTTTCTTACACTAAAATATACATAAAAATATTTTCTGCATATAGTTAGATTTATGTATGTACGAATGAACGAGGAATATTTAGGTCGCGTATTCATATTGAAATTTTGCTTTTAAAAACCTAAACAATAAGCTAAAGTACATATTACATCGCGTTGAAAAGTTTATGACGTAATGTTGTTAATCGACCATTTTTTTATGATGTTAAGATTATCAATATACTACTGCCAAAAACAATATTTAAAGACATATTTTAATACACTAGTAAAGTAAAATCACAATACATACATACATATCTACAAATAAGTAGGTAAGGTACATACTTTTTACTCTTCTTTGTATCTATGCTTCAAACCACTTTTCCAGCTAAAAGTGGTTTAGTTTAGACTTTTGACTGTTGAGTCATCAAAATATTATCGATCATCATTCATCATCATAGAATCTTCTCAATTATACTCAAAGAGAGTATGATGAAAAGAAAGAGAAGCATAAAAGAAATAATAAAAAAACTACCTATGTATATAATGTATATACATTATTTATTATAAACTTTAGTCTCATTTTTGGAAACGCACATAAAATGACATTTTATACGTAATTTCAATGTTAAATCTCGAAAAATAACCGTCTATAGGGAGATCATTTCAATATATTATGTGGTAAAAGAGTTATGTACAAAATCTTTGTATACAGAAAAGTTGTTATGCATACAATTTGTTTAGTTACCTAAAATTCTTTTAGCTCTGTTTATTTCATTTGAATGTTTGCATTATGAATCGTGTTACCGTTGTCAAAAGTAATTTGAGCTAAACACTGGATTCAGAGACGACATAAAAATAAGTACATATTATGTACTTTTGCATTATTGTATGTATGTAGTTAAATAAAAAATATTATAACTAATTTTTTGAAACAAAGAAAATTAATTTCGAAAATATATTTAGCAGTTCGGTACCTATGTTTATATGTATAAAGATACAGATTAAAATTCGCCTTTGAAAACAAAAATTGCAACTTATCAATTTGAAGTCAAATTTTGAACTTACTTATTAACTTATGACTAGCGTTACAAATTTCTTATTTGGATTAATTTTAAGCTAAAATTGTTATTGAAATTTAAATAGCAATTGATTGATTTTTATAATTGAATATACGTTATAACAAAAGTGTACAAATTTCCATACTAAGGCGTGTATACTAAAAATCATAATTGATTTTTTAATTTAATAGATATAGTTAAAATATTTTAATAATTTAAAACAGAAAATTATGTTAATTATCTTTCATTTATTTTAATAGTACATTGGCATTCGATTCTAAATTGCAAGTTACCACCTTCTTAAAAACCATTTATACCTATCACATTTTAATAAAATAGCAATGTTTTAATAATTAAGAAATTCAACGTGTTGGAAATGCTTAATAAAACAACTTGTTTAAAAAATAAACTTGCACTTTATATACATAATTTTTGTTTATGAATATGTACATATGTATCATATGCACACATACATATACATATAATTAATGTTCTTTAGAGAACTCTCTATAAATTTTTATCATGAACCACTAATTCTTATTCTAGTTCTTTTATAAATAAACATATGTATGTATGTATAACTGCATGAATCTTTTGTATGTAAATTATTAACTTTCATTTTTAGTAAAAACTTTTAATATAAAAATAAAATTTATTATTTCTTGAAGTTTTTAACTGATGTATTCTTCGATTCACAATACCAACAATTATGAACAAATTCGTATAATATTGTAAGTATGTTAATATCATCCGATTTACAAAATTTTGTTTCGAGAACTTCTTTCAAAAGAATCCAAACATTATTGAGTTAAATATTCTCTTTTATTTTGTACACTTCGAATTCTAAGTACAAAGTAACATTTTGAGTAGGTATTTTATATTTACCTTGCTTTTTATTATGTTGCTGTTGGCAATTCGATAAAATCACTAAACCGAATAAACTGATTAATAAAAATAAATTTTTAATTTCAATCATTTTATATTTTATTAAAAATTTAAATTTGATAATTTTATAATTAAAAATAATGTTATTTTAACAATTTTAGAGCAACTGTTAAAAGTTTGATATCTGAAGAACAACTAATGGCTATAATCAATTGGACAACTCATATAAAAGGTAACGGTAATTCTCTCTCTCTTAAAAATAAAACAATTTTTTTTCTTTTTTTTCAGTTAATTTTTTTTCCTTTTCCTATTCAACTCTACACATCACACATTCACAATTTAATATTAAAAAGAGACTTAAAATAAAATAAACGAAGATGGTAGAAAAATAAGTTGGTATCGTATTTAGTAGTTAGCAACTTTTAACAACACAAAAATGTAGTTAGTTCTTTGCACTTTACTTAATTGGAATATGTGTATACATGTTTATGTGCTAAATTGTAAGTTATTGGCTCGCGTTTATTAAAGTCGCGAGTTTTAGCGATTTTCATATGAGTTGAGTATATGGATGAAAATTATTTTCCATTTATGCTGTTTTTATGTTTTTGCTTTTTAATTTTACTTTTCTTTACTGTTTTTATAATAGGAAATTTTTTTTTATGTTTAAAGTTCAGTTTTCTTTTGTTTTTTATATAGTCTAGGAGCTTAGTTTAATTTTCAGACTCATGTTTTTTACTTTTAAAATTTTCACTCAAAAACATGATACATGACTTGATCTTAAAAATAGAAATTAATTTTGCCGTTAACGTTTACATATGCATAAACTTCTTACTCTTAATTTATTGCTCTAAACATTAAGTTCATCAATGTACCAATTCTCTATTGCTCTATTAATTTACATACGTATTAAATTTACCTATTTCTTTAAATTTATCTATTAAAATATTGGCTAAATTTTAATAAAGAAATAATAGAATCAAAAAATTATGTATAAATCAAGAAAATCACTTGATTTACAAAGAAAATGTCAAAATGCCAATATCAATTAAAAAACCATATTTGTTGTAAGGGTGTTTCGTCCAGATATACGGCAAATTTATTATAAACTTGAGAAAAAACAAACAAAATCTTTGGAAACGCTCGTAAAATGACATTTTATAAATTTGATACAAGAATCAGATTAAAGATATTATAATACACAATTTCTTATTCTATTATCAAAAAATAATAAGAAAACCAAAATACTACAAAAACAATGTAACAATTTTTCCGCATTTTACTTACTACCCAGAAATTTTGTAGTAATAACAGCAAAAAACTTTGTTAAAAAAATAAATTAAGAAGAAAACCCAAACAAGAAAATTGTTTTGTCTTTAAATTTTGTTTTTCATTATTATTATTTCGCTTCATCAATTTTTTAAGTGTTTAAGCTTCAGTATATGTACATATGTATGTAATTTATATCAAACAACAACAAACCATTTTGATGTATGCAATTTGATTTTAATATTTAATTCAATCTTCCAAAGTAGCCTTCGAAATCGTCCAAAAACATTTTAAAGTTGCATTTTGAACAAAACGCGAGTAAAATTATGAAATAAAATTGAAGTTTAGCATAATTTTCAATTGTATTTGTATATCTTCTAAAAAAATTTGTCGAAATCGGAAGATTTTACATTAACATGCAATATTTTTAATTGAGTATTTTGCTCTGTACAACGTGTTGATTTTTTGGTTATATGAATAAAAACCCAAATTAACTAACATTGCATTATACAGATTATAAAGCTACTACTCTGTAAAGCGGAAAAATATACAGGGATTTTGAAAATAGTATTTTTAACATTTCAAATACAAAATTTCAAAAAGTACCTTATTTATAGATTTGTATACCTATGTATGTAAATATGAAGATTTTAAGGTTTTGAAATTATAAAATTAAATCCTAAATTTAAAAAAAAATCGAATCAAACAAAATGATTTGTAAAGTAGCACAATTTCCATAAACAGCCCTTTAAAAAACGAATAAATTATTCTCATTTATATTTTAAAATATATCTTAATTATCTATATTAACACACTTTTAGGATAAAAAAAATTAAAATAAAGTGCCGAAATTTGAAATTTCGTTAATTTTAAAACACAATGAGTTGCAATAGAAAGAAGATATGAAATAAAATGTTAAACAAAATAAAATAAATTTAATTATTTCAAATATAATTTTCTGTAAAATTGGTTGCCACACCTATACTCAAACCAAATAATACTTTAGAAATTTTTTTTGGGCATTATTTGATTGGGATTCATTGCATTAAATCGAATATCGTAGTCTGGTTTTATTTTAAATTAATATTGTGGAAAACTTGCATATACTAAAATTAAATTTTCCATTTCTTTCTTTTGCAACGTTATTATTTTATTACAGTGGCAACAACTTTTGCAATAAGCTTATGTTATTCACATATTACATAAAATACATGCAAACAATAATAATTTGTGCAAAATGCTAAAACAAAATAAAGAGATTTTAAAATTTTTAACAATTTGCGAAACAATTTTTCTTGTTCATAATTAAAATATACTTTATTTAATTATTAACAGCGAAATTGATTATTTTATTTTAATGTAACCTATTAGGAAGTAATTATATTTTCGTAGAATTTCGAAAGAGATATAAATCTCCAAAAATTTCATCTGATTTAATTTCATGATTGTTTTTAAAAAATTTAGAAGTGATTGCTTAATTAAAGTTTACAATATCTGTGCTCTATTTCAAGGACACTTCTTAAAGTTTGATTGCAAGCCTTATTTTTCTAATCAAACACTTATAACCATTATTTCTGTTGTGCTTGAAAATAATAAGGTTTAAATATTACCGAAAGGGTTGAGTTTGGTGCTGATGAAAAAACCGTTTTCACTTTCAAACTATGGTCTTACAGAAGGTCTTAAAAAATTTGAATGATTCCACCTTTAAAGGATTACAGATTTTTACTAGAATCATCCTTCATTTCAATTTAAAAGTACAGACAACCTCAAAATTTAATTTTTGATAACAATGAAAATCCAGATAAAGCTATACAGTTATTGTAAATGTCAATATTTAAATAAAAGGTCGTTCACTAAGTTTTCAAGAGTGTAACATAATAACCTGAAAGAATGAAAAATACAATTAAAAATATCCGTCGTATAATTTAACAAATCAAAAAAAATCCACAAAAGAAATTCAAAAAATGTTTTAGAAGAAATAAAAAAACCCGTTGCAATTAAAGCCTAACTAAAGTACGAGCAATTATATTATCTAAGTAATTAAACTATACCGAGAAAATATGTGTCCCCGAAATCAATTTTACTCACTTTGAATTGCAATTTTCCGATATTTTAAAATACTTCCGCGTTTCCATAAATGATTTTCAAAAAGATGGTTATTATATTTTGTCAATAATAATACTGGGCAACATTGAAGGCGTTGTTTTAATTTTATTTAAATTATATTACAATTATGTATGTATATCTTGTAGTAATTTTTTCTTTTTTAATTATCTGCTAGCTTTAACAGTTTCACATTGAATGCATAATTATTTCATTTTTTGTCTAAATTGAACAATATTTTAATAGCTATCTACACATTGTCTATCCGAGGTTTATGTTAATAATGATGAAATTAAGTGCATTAAAGTAAATGTACTTAACAAATATTGAATGTCATTACAACGAAAGATGTTGAATGACATTACCAATTATTGATAAAAAATTGAATTTTTATGAAAACAACAACTTGATGGAAATAATAGAAATATTTAGCAAAAAATTGAGCAATTAAATGCAAAATATTATATATATATATATATATATATATATATGTACGTTGAACTTACATTATCTTTGATGACTTCGGTTGTTTTCACTTAAGTAATATTTGATAAGTTATTGAACTCAAATAATCAAATCAAACTCTTTGTTTAACTAATGGAATGATATTATAAATTTATAACATTACTCGTAAAGTGAATTTATGATCATTTTATCGTTAAAATTTTGAAGAATCTATCATTGACGCAACCCATTTGTATAAAAGGCCATGAACGCGTTTTTAGTATATTTGGGGCAATTTGAGGCCACTGTTTAATTCAACCAAAATGTTGTTATTAAAACAATATATGCAGTATAGTTCTTCAAAGCTTTTGGAAGATTTACGAAAAAAATGTAATATAAACTCGCAAAACATCAAATTAATTGCTCACCGAACGTTAATCGTTTATTTAACATTAATAATTCGGAAGTCAAATTTATTTTGATAACACAAATAAGTTCTGCCAATTTAACGTTGACAATATTTCAATGAGCCTCTTAAATTAAAAATCGAAAAAAGGTCTTGTAGGGTAACGTATTTTAAAAGCAGTTTACAGACCGCACTTTAAAAACAGAATAATGAAGCATTCTAATAAATTGTGCATCAAATCCAAAGAAAAAATTAATCCATTAAACAAACCCAATTTAAAGGACTTTCAATAGTATTTGTACTACAAAAAGCTAAATTTCCTGTAAAACCTTTTTTGTTTAAAAGACACCTCGATCAATTTAACATACATTCCTATTAAAATAAAAAACTTGTCTTTTTCTAAGTGTTTGCAATTAATCAAATAGAAATGAATAATAATGATGAATAATATGCACTTATTACATATTCAGTAATCTCTTCCGATTATAATATTTACAAAATACGATTTAACTTTAACATTAAAATTATCTTACTTCCAGCAGTTTCCAACTTTTAATTATTATTATAGGAATACTTAATGGTAAATATAATTTTTTTTTAATTTTAATGTCTTTATATGATCACTATAGTAGCATTTTTTTTTCATGTTGTTATGTTTTTGTTCCACAATATTAAACCTGTTTCATATGTGAATCAAATAATATAATCCTTGATTTCCTGACTCAAATACCAAATCACCTGAAATACTCAACTGCACTAGTATTAAATATCAAGTAAGATATAATTATAAATTTTATAACTTTTCACTTTTCATTTAAAAAAAAATCAATTTCAAAAAGAAAAAACCTATTGAAAATAAAATGTACACACATATTTTAAGAAAATATGTATGTATGTACATATATATAAATAACTAAGATTTTCAAGGAAATCAGGCGAAATCAGAAAAACTTTTATTTTTAAATTGACTGAAAATTAATAATGGGGGCATAACAATTTGTTATTGGATAGCTTAACCTATTCTACATACCTTACCAAATGCTGTTATAATCATATACATATTATGTACATATTATGTACATGTATCGGAATATATTTTGTGTAATATGTATTAGCTATCTGTTCAATAAAGGTGAATTATATTTAATATTCAATTTTTAAAAAAACGAGTTTATCTATCTGTTCTTCAAAAATTATTTGAGGTTTTTTGATAGTATAGCATAATTTTCTAAATTTCAGCATAATATTATTAAGAGATAGGTCCATACATAAATGCTTTGATGTTTAATATTGAAAATTATCATGCAACAAGAAAATGTCATTGCCACTATCAAACATGAGGAAGAAAAAAATACACCAAAAAATTAAAGCAATCAGTGTCACTGAGGAAAAAAATTTTGAAAAAAAAACAAGATTTTATCACCTTATGTAACTAAAATTAATAAAAACCAGCAATAACATGATTTTTTTTCTGCTAAAATATTAAAAAAATTTAGTTTAAAAACATATTGTTGTTTTCTAGGAAAGCACAAAATTAAAACAAAACTTCACATTTTATTGTTTCAACTTATTTAAACTAAAACTTTATAAATATAAAAAGCATTGGAAATTATTACACAATTTTCATTATAACACATATGTATGCACTTATTGCATGTAAAACAATTAAATCTTAAACCTAAAGATTGATTTAATTATCAATTACGGGATATACAGTTTTTCCAAAAACATAAGAACCCGCGTATTCAAATTGCTTGTATTCTTAGTTTGATTTCTTCACTTTTTTCATTTCATTCCAATATCGATCCACTTCGTTACCTTCCCAGTTCACTGACTTTGTAAATATACTAATTCGAATTATTGAATGCAGCGTGATATTCAGTTGTTTTAATTATTATTAAATTATAGTACACATGTTTATGATCATTAATTAAAATTAAAAATATTTCACCAGTATTAAAATAATTTCCAAAGATATTGTTTTGTGTTGCATTTAAACGTTGCGAATAGCAAAATGAAGTTCATCAAATTGATTAATGAGTTGAAGAAAATTCGATAATTTGATTTTTTAGAAGAAAAATTTAAAAAAAATAATTAAAACCAAAAAAAAAGGATTTTCATAAAAAAATTATGTAAACAAACTTATTTGATAAAAAGTAATTACTGTTAATTAAATGCACGGGAAAAAAATTGTTTAAATATTATTTTAAATAATTATTGATTTGTAATTATACATGATTTGCAATTGCATACACGTTATTAATATAAACTTATTTATATATAAAAATATTACTAAAAATTAATAGAAATTGAAGAATAAGAATCTTATGCTTTTATTAAATCCAAAAGAAAATAAATAAAACGTTCTGGTAACGACGCGTGCGATGCTTATATCGCGCGCCATTAATTATACAATAAAAAAGGTTTTTCTAATATAAAAGAAAAAAAACACTTTCGACTAATCAAAAGTACTTACGTTTCTTGTAACTGCCGTAAAATTTCTTTTTCTTTTTTGTCTAAACCATTTTTCAAAGACTTCAAGTTCATTCGCAATAATTCCTTACTTTGCATTCCTGATAAGAATGTTGATGGCCCTTCTAAATTTGTAAAATAATATGCTGCCAATTTTCCCAATTCAACATTACTATCCTTACACAATCCAGCCGCTTTTCGACATTTTTCTTTAATATCTTCTGAAGCTGGATGCCAATCCTGTGGCCCTGAATTGGTTAACAGCCCCAAACCATGACCTGAAGCACAAACAATCCCTAACTTTTGGTCAATAAAGAATTGCAAATATTCTTTAAATGAATCATCGAAAAGTGTGTATCGCGAATAACTTAACACCATCTAAATAATGGCCATAGAAATGTTAATAAAAATATACAGAAAGATTTAAACAAATTACCAACATCGAATTTTCCTGGTGCTGCTAAAATTATTTCTTTTAATGTTTTCAAAGGATAACCTGTCACTCCAACAAACCTGGCTTTACCTTCTTTAACAACTTTCTCCAACTCAGGTAAACATTCATTTAAAATAATATCCAAATTTTCAGCAAATTCAATGTCGTGAATCTAAAATAAGGTAACTTAGATATTATATGCTTACAAATATATATAGTATAACATACATATGTATGTATCATCATAAAAAAAAAGATCTGATGTGGTAGCACATAACCGACCGCAATGTGTATTGTCTAGTTAAGTGAAAGTGTTACAGAATATTATAAAAATGTCTGTTAAATATTTCTTTCCAATTTTTAGGACATTAGTAAGCCTATAGTTAACATACCTAGAAAAATGTAAATTTGGCTCTTAGTAAAGTTACACTTTGTGCTACCCGAATTCCCTGAAATGCTCGCTAGTTGATTTCGGTAACAACCAGAACTCAAATATCACATTTCAAGAAATTCCATTAATTCGTTCCGTAGATATGGTGAAAAATGTAAAATCGTCCCGCAGATCAGCTTTCGAGCCCTGATCTTTCCAAAAAATTTATATGTTAATTGTTTTAGTACGAAGAATTTAAATATTAAATTTCAATTAAATCGGTTGATTATTTCTCTTTATATACGCAAAAATGTATATTTGGCCCGTAGTAATCGTCCAGTTGCTAACACCTGATTTCTTCCAAAAGTTAGGAGGTTTCGCGGACGGAAATTTCAAGCAAATCGGTTGAATACATTCTTTAAAATGGTCAAAAATGTAAAACAGACCCGCTAAAAAGTGCCGTTCTGATATATCCTGATATATCCCAAAAGTTGATCAATCCGTACCATGGTCGAAATAAACTTACATATAAAATTTCATCAAAATCGGTTCAGCCGAACTTGAGATACACGCATGCACACACAGACTGACAGACCCACAAGTTGCTAAAAATAGTTTATTTACACTTCCCTACTATGGAGAAAACTCGATATGCAAAATTTGTTGCCATCACATGCCCTACCTATTGTTTACACAATACGGTCGGTAATTATCCCCTCTATTATGTATATCGGTATCGGCCGATAAACGATAATTTATCGGCAAAATTTTGTGTTTGTATTACCAACATTGTTTATCGGTAAATTTTATCGGAGTCGGGAAAGCTTTTTTTCCCTGTATAGGAAACGTATTAGCTGGTATTATGAAAATGATAAATTGTCGGGTTTTCACCGATTTAAAAGCGGGTACAAATTTTTAGACGACAGATTTTTTTTTTTGTAAAATCTTCATTTTATCAAGGAAACTGGTGTAATTAATTGCTTTTTTAAAATGTAAGCATTTTTTCTAAATTATTTTCTTTCAAAATGTTATTCATATATTTTATTTAGGAGTAAAATCCTAAGCAACAAAAAACAAATTACGCGGTTAGTAGAAAAAATGAAAGAGGACTTAAACCTGGCAAGGAATGATAATCTGAAATTCTGGATAAACCTAAAGAATGTGTACATATTATATAAATAATAAAATAAAATAGGTACATAAACATACATTTTGTTGTCTAAGTCCAATGGATTAGTTGAATTTCTTATATGTCGTCTTTGAATAGCTTGCGTTTCTTCACTTACTACCGTTTCTTCATTTTCAAAATATAATGCACGCGACATTTTCCCGATATATGTATATTTTTATTTTACAAATTTAACAGAAAATAATTTGCTTACAACAACTTTTTAGCACATCAAAACCAAATTCAAAATAGTTTTAAAAATTATTTGAAAATAACTTTTGAAAGAAAACAAATGCCATTAGAAAAAAAAAACTTTTTCTCCAATTTACAAAAACAAAAATTTGTATGAAAAAGCTTCTTTTAATCGGTTGAAATATTTTTATCGGTATCGGTTCATAATACAGAAGAAACCTAAAACCGATTAGAACTGCCGATAATATATGGGCCGATACCGATGTTCATAATAGGGGGGTATATTAATCAAATTTAACTGACCTGTATAACATCTACATAATCCAAATTCAAACATTTTAAACTAAGTTCAACACTTTCTCGTGTTCTCTTTGCAGAAAAATCAAACATTTTTTTATAATCTGGCTCATAACGCCCAACTTTTGTAGCTATGTAATAAGCTTTACGTGGAACATTTTTGAGTGCTTTACCATAAAATTTTTCTGATTCTCGATTTCCATAATAAGGTGCAGTATCAATATAATTAATACCCGATTTTAAAGCCTCATGTATTGTTTCGATTGCATCATTTTCATCATAACTGAAATAAATAAATTAATATTTTTGAAAAATCAAAACGATTAAGATTGCATGAAAGCTTTTAGCAAGTACACAAACCTTCCATAACAGCCAAATACACCACCACCAATTGATAATTTTGAAACTTTAAGGCCAGTTTTACCAAATGACCTATATTCCATTTCAGAGCATAAAGCTTTATCATGAAAGTCTTCACAGAATGTGTCTGGCAAGTCCATTTTTGTATATATGCAATTAATTCTACTTATTTATTTTACAATTTAAATAAAATAGTGTAAAAATTTATGTAGCCAAAAAACAATGTTATATTTTTGTTAAATATATGTATAATGAATTATTGTTGAAATTTTATTGAATTGTATTATTTGTAAAAATCAAGTTTAAAAGTTGAAAATTCTGAATATATTATAGTACCTCTCCATATGACTTGATTGAAACAACTATTTTTAATTTTAAGTACTCAACTCAGTTTTAGAAAAAACATTGAAAATAAGAAAAATATTCTCTTAAAGTTTATAAATACATACGTATGTAAGCATATACATACCTTTGTAAATAAGCTTTTATTGAATGTATTCTAATTCTTATCTATAAATAAGTAAATATGTGCACAAATATGTACTTATATACATGTATGGATTTTTTTATTTACTTATTTGTTGATAACGACCCATTGATAACAGAACGATGTATATCTCGTATGCGAAAACAGGTTTTCTTGGAGGTATCAAAAAAATAAGAGCAGGTAAATAAGAAATTTCAGGCGGGAAATTTTGTTTAGAAAATAATTGTTAATATGTGGTAATGCATATCTTAATGCATGTTATAATAATATAAATATAAATATACATACATATGTATATGTATATTAAAAAAATTAAATACTGAATGGTTTTGAAATAGAACTTCATAAAACTTTGTACAATAAAATTGTAATTATTTCAAAATTTTTTAATCAGGTACCTATATATGATCGAGTAATTTAAATATCTGGCAAAACTATGATACCACATAAGTGCAAATATTTCCAAAAGTACTTTACCAATTTTCTGTTTAGGAAATGTTAAACAATCCATAAATGTTAAATAATTTTCATATTTTCATAAATTTAAAAGATGGATTGTTTGACATTTCCTAAACAGGAAAATTGGTAAAGTACTTTTGGAAATATTTGCACTCACGTGGTATCACAGTTTTGCCAGCGATATAATCTGATTCAACTGCAAGTTTTTAGAAACAAATAGAAAGATCGCATTATTTAATCATATGAATATCACGATGTATACATATGTATGTACTTTGTTTTCCATTCATTATTCGAAAAGTCCTATTGAAAAATTCTATTGGAAATTATCTTTTATAATGATATTTTTGCGAAATGTTGGTTTCAGATAACTGGTCCATACTTTGTCACGCCATAGCCTTCAATAAGACAAGAAACTTTTTCTCCACCAATTTTGATCGAACCTTGAAGGACGATAAAGGCTTTCAACGATAAAATTTTTAAAAGTCTTTATCTGAAACTATCAAGATCAAACAAAGGGCAAATTAAGGCCTGGAAAATTAAAGCCCGAGCGTTTTTGATGTTTCTTTTTAATTTCCAATTGTACTTATTATATGTACATAAGTAAAAACTTAGTATTAAAATTTTTAATTATTTTTTCTTTATAAATTTGTAGTACTAGAAAGAGCTGTCTTCCTCCTTTTCCCACTGGTTCTCAAGAACAAGAGCTTCTTTATTGTCTTCAAGAACTTTTTAGTAAAACAACATCGTAATGTACGAACCATCCTATAAAAGCTGATTATGATAATAACCCATTGTGGTATTAGTCTGTACGTCAGTCTTTTTGAATAGTTGTAATATGCGATAACTTAACCTTTAGGTACAGCTGCTCGAAAATCGTAACGATACGAGCTCGACTTCAATCAACAAAAGATGCACACGCACTCAACTTGCGCTGCAATAATTTTTTGTTAAGATGGGAAAAACCAGAAGTGATTTTAATGAAGAGGTGAGGTAACAATGTCATAACGGGAAATTGCTTGTTTTATACATAAGAAAATTCAAAGAACAATTTTTCCAAGTATTGTTATTATAAAATTATTAATATTTTTATTTATTCTTTTATTATTTTTATTTATTTTCAAATTTATTGGCACAATTTTAATTTAAAAACTCAAAGTGGTTCTTAAATTTTTTTAGGAATTTGGTTTCCACTTTTGAAGTAAATGAAAAAAAAAAACAAATCTACTTATGAACATAATATACTTACTTGTAAACACAATTATTCAATTCATTTATCGTAGAAATTTTTCTTATATTAATTTGTTAATTTTTTTAAATTCTTATTTTACACATATAAGTATGTAGGTATGTATCAAAGTGTTCACTTCGTTAAGTAAACAAATAATCTATATTATGTACATTTAAAATTTAAACAGAAGTTGCAATTCATTTTAATAAAATTACATCGTAGATAGTTAATCAAATTCTATGAACTGAGTTTTATTAGACTAAAAGCTTTCACAAATCATACTAAAACTTTCACCAATCAAAAATTTGCACGAAATAAAAACGTCTTGATCGATGCGCTATCTGGTGACAATATTTTTGAAACAAATGCGCAATACAGAACATGCGCATACTCAAATAAATTATAAATTGTTCGTGCTAGTGTTATTACATTAGACCAAACACAAAAATTCCGAAAAATGAAATCCATCTACATGTTTATAATATTTATTTAAAAAATTATCTGTTTAATAAAAAATGATGTTAAAAATTAACTTGTATTTGTTCAATTTAACAAAACTAATCGATTTATAGGTATTAAAAATTTCTAGCAATTTTTAACATTTGCTAAAGACTCTAAAGAATTGGCTTTCAATATATATGACTTAAATAAACTTATGTGTTATAAAAAAAAGGAAATATATTTAGTATATCTAGTTTAGGATATATATCTAGCATTATTTATTAAAAGTTATATTATTTATTAAAACTATTTTAATGGCGCGAAATTTTGAACTGCTCTAATTATATGAAGTTGAGGTAAAAAAGTTATTCTTCATTGCGCAAAAATAATGCTTTCTATATTTTAAATTTCGTTAATAATTACGTGAAGCCGTATTTGACATTGTTATGCCGGCAAGATGTTTTTGTCAAGTGTTTATTTACAACTGAACTATACTTATAAACATTAAGCTTATTCTCACTGATAAAGAAACATTTACTATTCCGCTCTTGTTCTACGTTTCAATCAGAATATATATTACATTCGATTGCAAGATTTCTAAGAATTAAATATGTAAATATTGCACATAATTAAGTACTTTTTTGATTTTTAAATTAAATATAAAAGCAAGGCAAAAGAAGCTCGACAAATCACTACAATTTAAAAATTTCTTTGCGTCTGACCGCTTAAAAAAATTTCTATTAATTATTTTCAATTTCAACTTATCATTTAGAAAAACATTTACAAATAATGGCTTCATTACCACCAACTTTTGTCAAAGGCTTCCATGATGAACAAGCCGTACAAAAAATGGAATATCGAGATTTTGGAAAAACTGATATGAAAGTTTCAAGACTAGCAATTGGTGGAGCAACTTTAAGCAGTTTATTTGGGTACCTATTTCCAATTTCAATTTAATAAATTAAATTATATATACCTATATGCATAAGATATCTGCGAATATATTATAACTTTTTTAATTTCGCTTATAATTCCCTATCATAGTGAAATAAACAAGACCACAGCAATAGAAACAGTACGATTGGCAATAAAAAACGGTATCAATTATGTTGATACAGCACCATTTTATGGAGAAGGTGAATCGGAACAATTGCTGGGTGAGGCATTAAAAGTGATACCTCGTCAATCATACTATTTGGCAACGAAAATCGGGCGTTACTCACGAGATTTCTCAAGGATGTTTGATTATTCAGGCAAAAAAACCAGAGAAAGTGTAGAAAAAAGTTTAAAATTACTGGGAGTCGATTACATTGATGTAATTCAAATTCATGACATTGAATTCGAGGAGCCCATTGATTTAATTTTAAAAGAAACTTTACCAACTTTAGAAACTTTAAGGAAAGAGGGAAAAATTCGTTACATTGGTGTTAGCGCATACCCAATTGGTATTTTGAAGGAATGTATTTCAAAAGCTGGTCCTGGCCATTTTGATGTAAGAAATTTCAAAAAAATTTTTCTGTATGTACAATTATAAACTATATCTTTATTTGCAGACTGTTTTAAGTTACTCTCGATATACTCTTATTGATGAAACTTTATGTGATTTTATACCATTTTTCAAAGAGCAAAACCTAGCAATTATTAATGCTGCAGTTCATGGCATCGGAATATTATCAAATAATGGTCCACAACCATGGCATCCAGCCAGTGAAAAATTAAAAAATCAATGCAAAAAAGCTGCAGAAATTTGCAAACAAAATGGTGTTGAACTTGGTAAATTGGCTATGTATTATGCTGCACAATACCAGGATACAGATATTTGTTTAGTCGGTATGGCAACCCCAGAACTTTTAAAAATTAATTTGGATGCTGTTCTAAATGGTTTAAATGAAAAAGAAACACAAATTTTAAAACTTATAAAAAAAGAGTAAGTATTTTTAATTCAAAATTAAAATACAAATAATAGGACAATAACATTTTATTTTACAAAGAAAACGCTTAATACTATGTACTCTATAATATTACTTTTAGAATTTTCATACAAGGAAACCAACATTGGGAAGGTGTTGAGATTAAGGCATATAAAGAATGGAAATCCAAAAATAAGGCATGAAAATTTTGCGTATTATGAGATCCTAGTTCCATAACTATGTTCAAATATTTTCGCCCAATAAGCTTTTACCCAATATTTATTTTTTGATTACATATGTATATAGAGGTGTGCACAAAAATTGTAAATAAATTAAAAATAAAGTTTCCCAAATAAAAGATCAATTTTCTCATTATGGAAAAAACTTAATGTGAACTTGTGACTTTACTTTTTCTATACTTAAGGTGCTATTGAACGATGTCTGATGAAAGTAAATTGTCGCACTGCATACTTTAATGAGTGAATTAAAAAGTGATTGTTTTTAGTTCAATGTAAACTAACATTTAATTTACAAAAATATGTTGTAATTCAATGGACTTTCGAGAGGTGGTAAAATAAAATTTCTATAAGCTTATATTTTACTGCAATAAATACGTTCATTTCGTATAATGCGTTGCGAGAAGGAAATTTACCTATATATATGACTTCCTAATTCTGTTTGTTTCTTCATTTTTTAAAGCTTATATTAAGAACATTGAACTTTTTCTGATTTTCTGAAGGAGAGTTGGAAAAGAATCGTAATTGTTTATATAGAAAAAAAATCTTTAATAACACGTATTCAACAAGTGCTACTATAGAAAAATAAAACCTCAGTATTGATTAAAAATCATGTCAAATTAATCAAATATTGTTTTTTTTTTTATTTTGTGTTTTTTTTTATTTTGCTACATTTTTAAAATAAAACAATTTTGGTTTTCAAGGCTATCTAATGCAAATTTTGAGGTGGTAGGAAACGAATCTTGCACTCTAACGTAAGAAAAATAGAAATTAGAAATTGTGCTATAGTCCAAGCTTTAGTAAAAAAGCTGATTTTGGACAAATATGCTAGTTGTATGGTATTCCTATAATATGGTATTCCTATATGTATATAAAACAATGCAGAAAATTAAAAAAAAACAAATATATGTATATATTTTAATGTTTAAATAGGTAAGAATTGAACCTTCTAAATTTATATATTCATTTATATACATATGCTTACGTATATGTGTGCAAACTGCGATCCAGTTAAGAACTCATAATCATTCATTATTGTAAATATTGGTAATTGTCAAACAAGTTCATAAATTATTAAACATGCCATTATTTCATGATGCGCAAACAAGGGGACGCTATATTAAATTAGTTAAGTCTGCATAATGTAAAACTTATACAAATTTCTTTTGCGTATTTGATTTTAATACGCAAAGTAAGTATTAATAAAAAAAAAATAAATTTATAATTTTCACAACTTAATCTGCTTGAATTTTCGTAGAATGTATTTTTGAATAATTATTTTCGTATGTTTATACAATAAGAAAAATAATTGAATGTCGCTAAGAAAGTCACGTCAACGTCTAGAAAAGACCTTTACACATTTAAATGTCTCAAAACCAAAATAATAAAAAAATTAATGTGTTTCAGTTACATATGTATGTATATGTATATTACGTTTGCATACAATAAAAATTAAATAATAGTAATTAAAAAAGTTTAAATTTTATTTCAATTTTGTAATTCTTTTCTTGAATTTTTAATAATAATTTATCACTCGCCTTAATAACTAAAAAAAAACATGAAGTTTTTGTTTTTTACTTAATGTACCTGCAAACTTTTTAATGTTTTATACTTTATTTTTCAGCTTTCCATTTTTTGTCAAACAATTTCATTTAAATTCTAAATGAGTTTATTTTCTTAGTATAATTACTTAATTTTCTTTATGTGAACTGTACGATACATATTAGTTTATTTTTTTTTTTTAGAATATCAAGTCACCAAAATTTTCTAAGCTTGGGAATCGGTTTGGTCGAACAATTGTCGTTTGTTGTGGTTTTCTTGCAATAATAACATCATTTATTTCATGCATAATACCATTTGTTGAAATAATATCACATTTTGTAACACCAGCATCCTCAATTTTTGGGCGACGATCACGGCTAATACGTAAATGTCCACCATTTATTGTTTCAATTGTTCGAACAAATGGCCAATTTGTTGGAATAATACCAGCACAGCATACAACATCATTAACAATATGATTTTTTACCATATCTTCTAGTTCATTTGGTTTTTCTAATTTTGTTTTAAGCCAGTCTTCCGTTTCTTCTAAAACATCATTTTTAGGAACTAATAAAGTGTATTCTGATTGTTCGTCTTCCAAAAGATGAGTTAAATTAGCTGATTTAATCAATCCTAAGAATTTACTGTAATTTGGATTTGACTCTAATTCTTGTAAGAGATTCTGAAAAAAATTAAAATTAAATTTCAATAAATAGCAGAATGATAGACAATACTTATTACGAAAATTTACTAAATTAAATTAATATTTAATTTAGTTAACTTTAAATTCCATTTTTAGATTAGCATTACAAATAAATTACCATTTTAGGTGGTGTCAAAACTTTATCAACTTGATGCAATACAGAACCACAACTTTCATCATCAAAATGCATTAATCTAGCACAATTAACAGTAGCACGATTCATAACGTTCGTGAAAAGCGCATGAGTTGAGTATAAGTTAACACGTAATTTTTTTCCAGATTTGGTATCAACCATTTTTTCAGCTAAATTGCAAGTCTTAGTCATAGGTTCAACAACATGATAATTTAAGAATTCTTTCAACTCTTCATTATCTTTTAAGCTATTTGGATCTTCTTCTAGTTTCTGCTTCCATACATTATTTTCAAAAGCTTTATCATTTGGTACAAAGAATGTCACGTTACTCATATCGTCGAATTCGTTTTGTAAATTTGATGCTTCAACCAATTGTTCAAATATTGTCAAATTTTTTTTCTCCATTAAAGATGTTATGGGTAAGGCAGATTCTGTTGGCATTATTGTATCAACAACATGTAATACACCATTAGTACCCATAATATCACTTTCAATAACTTTAGCTTGACCGTTTACCATAATATTTTGTATACCAGTTAAATCTGCAACTTCACTAGCAACATCTGTTTTTTCATCTTTTGGATTAATACGTTCGAATATCATTGGTTCAGAGAGCATATTGTAAGCAGTTGTTTTTGCATCTGGTACAACAGCAACTGAACAGAATGTCAAGTCCAATATATGATTTTTTAAGATATCTTAAAAAAAAAGAAACATACAGTGTTAATTATTTCCCGTAAAGATGTTAATCAATAAGGTCTTAAATAAACAGGTTTAAAGTTACTGCCTTAATATTTCTACAAAAAGAACTTCCTTAAAAGCTTTTTCCAGTGAACAAAAAACATATCCAACAAAATTTGCAATTTATAAGATGATCAACTTTATTTTTATAAAAAAAAAAATTAATCATCTTATTTTTTATATTTGTAAAAAAAAATTTTTCCAAATTCAGGAAAATAATCAAAGCCGATATGCAAATTAAAAATTTGATCAATAATTCTTCATTTGTCTTATGCTCAAAATTTGATAATATTCAAAATAGTTTTGTGTAAATCTGATATATTTAATCTAAAATAAAATTTCAAACAGCAATCTAGATTACTTAATTAAAAAAGTACGAGATTTATCGGAGCAATTAAGTAGTATTCAATGAAATTATAATAACTAACTTTTACTAATATTAGTTGGTCTACAAAATCCTGGCCATTGGTGATGTGGTTATGGCACCTTTAACCGAAGGGTCTCGGGTTCAAACCTCGGTTAGGTCCCTATAAAAACTACATTCAATATTTATAACTTAATATACAATGCTAATAAATATTATACAAGTAATTTTCAAATATTCATAATATTCGATACTAAAGACTAAGAAAAATAAACAGTAAATTTTAATAAACTTAAATACTTAATATAAAGAAAAAACTACGGCAGGCTAGTCACCTACCTAGTTAAAACTCCATGACGCTATGACACTAGGGCATGATATCATGCACACTAGCCCTATGGTCGTCCTTAGGAGTGTGAGCAAAGGAAAAAAAACATAAATATTAATGAAATTATTAAAATTTTATATAACATAATTCAATTTCATACTACGACCGAATCGGGAATATCGAAAAATTTTAAAGATTCGCAAGAAAAGTGAATTATTACTTTGCAAACTAAATAGTCTCCTAAAACCTTTCTAAAACCCTTTTTCTTACTCCAACTAAACAATTTTCTTTTAATTTTCTTAAATGATTTTTTTTGGTCATGAGTTTTTTTTGTGTACTTATGTTTCAAGTGAAAGCGATGTTAGGAAGAGGTTTTCCAGAGCCTTTCTTGCAAACCCGACAAATCCGGTGAAGTATTGTGCAAGAGTACTAAGAAATCTGAAGCGAACTTCAACATTGATATATATATACATACATACAATGATTTACTATAATTATATAATTGACACAGTAATGCTTCGAGATACTATAGAAAGTTGTTTTTGCCATGACCACCAGTATTGCTTCACTAATTAGGAATTCGTCTTAACTAACAGTTTGAGAATTTAATCTTATCGAATGCCACAACCCTTTCATTATCATCCATTTATAAAACTAAAAAAAAATGGAAAAATTATGTAAATGAAGTAACAACGTTTCAATTGGCTTACTTTATATGAAAAATAACCCCGTTACGGCATTTTTATATTATTGCTTAAAAAGCACAAACCCTAAAGAAAATTACTTACTTTTAGCACATCCTTTTCCTTCTTTCAATGTACGTCTCAAATGTTGATCTAATTTTTGGAATGCTTTATCAGTTGGCGCAAAAACAGTCAATGGTTTATCACCTTCCAACAATTTGTTCATATTAGATTTTTCTAATATTGAACGTAATATTGTCATATCATCGCGTTGTTTAATAATATCCATCAAGTTCATATTAACTGGTGGTAAAACACGATCAACAACATGTACCATTCCATTTGATGTATATTTATTTGCTTTAACGATTGGAGCACAGTTAGCAGTGTAACGGAATCTTGATTCTACGCGGCTACTAGGTGGTTTTGGGAAAATATTAATACGTATTGTGGCATTCTCATAATTTGTTTGAAGAATATCTTCATTATGAACATCATTCATATCTACCCAGCCATCTACCATATGATTCAATGCCAAATCTTTTGATGTAAAACCGGTTGCAGGATCACTTGCTACAGCGCGACGTGCACGTGTCATTGGTAACACAACTAAATTCTACAAAATATGTAATTTATTTTTTTAATTTAAATAATAATCAATTTTTTAATTATAAAAATAAAACTGGATAATTCACATACATTTTCAAACATTTGTTCAGAGAACTCTGTGAAAGCAGAATCGGTTGGTAAAAATAATGTTACATTTGATGATAATTTTTCATCTAAACCATTGTTTTTAGCACTTCTAATGAATTCTTTTGCACCCATTTCTTCAGCTGTTTCCATTAATGGTTTAAGATCAATTTTTTCACATGGTGTTGTTAAATCAGCATTTCTAGGACGTCCATAACCGTGACAACATTGTCTGCTAATTGTTACTGTCTTCTTCTTTCCATTTTTATTATATCTATTGTAAATGAAAATATTTAAGTTACTTATGTATATAAAAAAAAACCAACAGCAATAGAGTGTAACAAAATTTTGTAAAACAAATAATTAATGAACTTTGAGTTACTTTGACTACGGCGGTAAAATTATTTAGAAGTAAATAAGTTTTTTAAAAGCGAGAATTTCTTTTCTTTAAATTAGGTTAAGTATTCAAAGGTGCACACTTCTATTATATGTGTATGTTTATTTGTTTAATATTTAAATAAAATATTAACTAATTTCAAAAAAACAACTACTTCATTAAAAAGACATTGTATGCTTTTGTACCCGCATAAAATCAATATTTAAACTTTGATCTGTAGGCATACATATGTATATGCGTATATGTATGCGTGTGTTGAAATAAATTTACATGTCATTAACATTTGGCTGACTATAAAAAAAAAACTTTTTTTTGTAATTTTAATGCGACTTTTTTCAATTAACAAAATTATCTTAGAAATTTAATTTTTAATTATATTAATTAAAAGAAATTTTTAATTCTACTATATTTAATTTAAAATTTTAAATACTTACACTTGTTTGCAGACATGCTTATGCGGTTTTTCAACACATGAATTGAAACTAAATTGGAATGCACCAAATAATTGGCGAGTTACATCAAGTGAAACTGATTCTTCATCGCTATCGTCTTTTTTACTGGTATTAGTTTCAGCGTCATTGTTTTGTTCCTCTTCGGCACGATCAGTACAAACATTTGGTCTGAAAGTGTGATTAAAATATAAATAATTTTTTCTAATTTACATAGGAGTGAACATTGTATAATTTACAATTATTTTGTCGGAAGTCATTATTATGGTGTAAATATTGCACATACATACACATAAATATATACATATTTAGAAACCAACTCGCTATTTCAACTCGATGATATGCTTTCAGAATAAAATTATAGTTTTCGATGACAGATATTCTCTAATAACCTATTGCATTTCCATTATAACCTATAATAACATATTAAATATTTATGGCAGGGTTTAAGTAACTAATTGTCCCTTTAAATATGCGTTATCAAATTGAATTGAATATGTCAATCGAACTAAAATTGAATTGAATATGTACATACATATTCGAAGTCATCAATCTGCAACAAATCAATTTTCACGAAAAGAAGCAAGATCGAGAAGCTAATCAATAATATAAATTTTTATAGCATATACATAATGTATGTATATTTTATATCTTAATTTGTGTATACATGCACATTATATGCTACACGCACTTTTACTGGACTCTTTCTGTGACAATGAAATTTCAACTTACTGTAAAAACAAATACAAAATTTTTTTTTTCTATTAAGAACGAAAATCAACGAACTGAATAATTAAACCACTCCGTAACTATACCAAATTTGCGTCCAAGATAAATAAAATAAAGTTGGCTCAAACCAATGGTTTGTATTGTAGCACTTTCCCTTCAAGAAGTGAAAATACTGCTTTTAAGTATAGTATATGTATACGTACCACATTATTAAAAATATTTTCATTTATGTACGAAACTATTTCTAGGATTGCATACATTTAGGATGAACGATTTATGCAGTCTAAAATAAGGCAAAAATAAATTTAAAGAGGGGTTCACATGATGCTCGATTTTAAGGGTTAACTGCATGAGTTAAGAAAAATAATTAAATTTTTTAATGACACGAAATTTACCGTTACCCTTTTGCGTTTATAGAAATTTGAAAAAGCTTTAGGTTTCGCAAATATAAGGTGCCAAATATTCAAATTTTACAAATTTCGAGAGGTAATAACTTGAGAGGGGGTGGAGATGGGAAAAAATCTTCTTCTATTGAAATAAACTTTTTATGAATATCTAAGAGCTGCTAATATCAGACTCCTGTAACGTACGGTGTAAAAGAAAAACGGCTTCAAAAATTTGGAAAAAACGGATTTAAGATAACAGTAAATTTTAACCGCTATTTTGTTTTTTTAAAGTCCAGAAATGGTATCCCGCGATAGAAGAAGCCAGCTACTATTTTTCTGTTTTTGCAAAATTTGAAAAATGTTTATGGCTTCATTGCAATAAATAGTTAAAAAATGCCATTTTTAGGGTTTTAGGGGGGTATAACTTTTAGAGGGGGGAGATAGGTGAAAATTTTGTTCTACGTAAATTTCAGCTTTCTATTTTCAAGGATGTAGAAGTTTTGTAAACAGACACACGAACAGACGGACGGACGAACGGACGGACAGAGTGTAACTAATAAGCACTTTTTTTCAAAAATATTTTGGAAAAGTGCTAAAAACTACGTATAAATATGTAAATTGAAGTCAACGCTACAATCATAAAGAATAATCAGATCAGTAATAGGAAATAATATTTTAAAATGGAGCACTACTGGATTTATTCAACCATGATTTATTTCAAAATTAAATAACACAGTTATAATGAAACTCTTAATTCATGAAAATTATTTATAAAATAAAAAAATGATTTATGAAAATATGAGTAGCGGAAATTAAGTGAAAGTTTCATACCACCTGGAAATTGTAAAGGTTACAAAGAAAAATAATTAATTTCTAATATGCAAAATATTAAAAAATTTTTCATAACTTTTCTAATTTCAATCATAGTATGTCTTTATTACTTTCTGCTATGTCTATACATATACATAAATCTTTGGTTATTGCCTTATATATTGGACATTTAAAGAAAATTGAACCGAAATATTGGAATTTATCATATAAGTGTTAATGACTTAAAAATATTGAAAATATGAGTTAAAGAAAAGCAATGAAGAATTGCAAAATACGAGAAATCAAATTTGAAAATTTAAGTTAGCATTTGTACGGATAGAAAACTATTAGGATCATGAGAATATACATGGGTCTTAAAACCATTCGTACACTGTAAAGCTTTAACCTCTGATCAAAAAAGCAATTTTTGACTAAGACCATTCTTAAACTACTTAAACTATGTTTCTAACACACTATTTTAAAATTTATTGTTTCAGATTTATTTATATATTACTGATATGTTTCACAAATATGTGTAAAAACTATATACATACATATATATTTGATAGACCCTATCATTTCAAAGTGTGTTTGTTGTGTAAAAAGGAGATATTAGCATACGGTCTCTTTTTTGAATAAAAGAAAATTTTTTTTGAGAAGTTAGAGATTTGGAAAATTTTCAATTCATTTTATAAAATTATATTTTTTACTATGACGAAATAGCAAGTGTAGACAATCGAAAACCAAAACAAAACCAAAAATTTCATAACACTAGCTCATAAATGCAAACAATTTTTTTAAATACTTATATATTTTTGTATACTACTTTTATTCAGCGGCATTATTAAAAAACTGCGCTACTAAGTTTACCGTGAAACTGAAACAAACAACATCAGTATAATAATTTCAATGTAAAAAAATTAAACAAATTGCATTAATTCAAGGAAATCGCTCAAAAAGGCATGAAGAAATATTTGTTAATAATTGAATTGAAAAAAAATGTGTTGTTTTAAAGTTTATTAAACTTTTTAACAATGATTATAACTGCTATGTGCAATGGTAAAAAAAAATTAATTAAATATGTAGATATATATAGATAAATTTTCTATAAAAATAACTCAAAGAAAGTTTAAAAAAATGTACGCTCAGTAATCAGCATATTCTTAGAGTTGAGTTTGAAATTTTTCTTTCAACAAATTACAGTATTGAATTGCAAAAGTTGAATCTATTTCAAATAATTTACTGAATTGGAAAGACAGTCATTAAGTTAAGTAAATTAAAAATTAAGTAATTATTTTAAATAGAAAAATAATTATCGTGTTATTCAGCTTCAACGATCATTTATATCTTTGCTAAAAATTTCTATCACCAGCTTCATAGGCTATATGATCACAAAATAAATTCGCTTTAAATTTGAAAATGTTTGATTTTGAATTTACCGAGAAAATACATTTCTCACTTCTCTCACACAAGTCTTAATTTAAATTGCAACGATTCTCCGATCAAGCAATAAAAAAATTATTATTTTAAATTTCCAGGAATAAAACACTTTAAAAATATTTATGGAATAATACTCAACTATGCTTTGCATTAAATTATCTGAGTCCTTGGTTATTATGGCCTATTGTCTCAGTATTAATGTATGTGTAAATAATAATTATAATAAAAAATATCAATATGTATGTATAACTATAAGAATAATCGATGACAACCTACGTATATGTGTACATTTTTATACGTATTCAAAAAAGGGGAATCATTTATTTTAAAGCTTTATATTTTATTCTACATATGTATAACAATTTATTGCTTAAAATTTTATATTATTTGTCTTATAACTTATATACAAATTTATTGAAGGGGAATGCCAGGAAATTATCATGCCAACAAAGACACAAAGGCAAAGACAAAATATAATATAATTACATTGTTGAATTTTCTAGATCATTTCTTTTTCTACTAAACAATAAACATAATTATCATATTCGACCACTGAATATTATCACAATATTCTACTAATAAAATATTTTCAAATATTGATAAGACTCATGACAAAATATGAGATCGACCTTTTATATGATTATTTATATATGTACATACTCGTATAAATAAAGTTTGATCATACCAATGGTTTGTAAAGTAGCCTTTTTCCCATGAACAAATGAAAATAATGCTCTTAGAAGCAATCTGTTGCATTTTAAATTATTTTCATTCATATACCAAAATATTTCAAAAGATTGCCTACATTTAGGAAGAAATAAAACAAAATTGAAAGTGGCGTGAACATTATAGTCGTATGGTAGCTTTCTCTATACTGTCAGTTTATAAAAATTTGGATAATCTTTTATGTATATATTTCGAGCAGTTATAAAATTAGAGGGGATGTAGGAGAGAAAAAATTTTCATTCAACGTTTTTCGACACAAAATCTTAATTTCAACGGAAATTTTGTTATTTCTATGCACAATGGAAGAAGCCAGCCACGATTTTCTGCGTTTGCTGAATATTTAAAAAGAAATTATAAATAATCAAAAAATATCAATTTTGGATTTTGAGGGGCTGTTACTTTTAGAGAGGGGAAAATATTTTAAAATAATCTTTTACGAAAATAAGTTTTTAGTAAAGATTAATTTATAAACTGGTCCACGGATGTAAGGACATGCAGAGTAAAACAAATAAGCCCTTTTTTGTTATTTTTTTTAGAAAAAAAGAAATAGTAGAAAATAAAAATCTAAACCGCGATAAACTGATCTTAACAATTTTAAACTTTTCTGAAGCACATCGACGAGTTCAGTTTATTTATAGTAAGAATATAAATTCTAACATAAGAGTATCTATAAGAAAAAGAAACAATAATGAACTATGCATATATATGTCTATATATAAATATTAAAATATCATCATTTATATGAGAATAAATAATATATTTGCTCTGATAACATATTGATTTAATTGACATGATTTATTTGCTCTGATATATGAAACACAAAATTATCATGTTGTTGCAGCTCAATCTATATTAAGCATTTCATTAAATTGCAGATTTGATAAGGTCTTTAAAAATAAAAAATAAATAAAAATAACTAATTAATTAAAGGTTTAAATTGACGAGTCCATCTGCAACTGTAATTTTTAAAATCAATTAAAGAATACTTCAAAATTTCAAAAATAGACTTACGAAAGTGCAATCTGAACCAGTCTCTTCTGTGAATATTAAAAGTAAAAATTTTGAAGTAAAAATTGAAAAACGATCTCATTATCATACATATTTCTGAAATTTTAAAAACTTAATCTTGACAAAAATTAAAAGAGCATTGAAATTGTTAATTTAATCCGCTACTAAATGAATCCAATAAAATATTTAAAACAAAAATTAAGGTGTCAGTTCAATAAACACGATATATGAGCAAATACATGAAATCTGAATAATAGATTGAGCAGTAGTAATAATGTGGATTTCAAATTTAATATATGAACGCTTATCTTCACCAGATGTACCACACAAATAAATAAACAAGTCTGAAAAGTAAATCACAAATTTCAATTGAATTGAATTGTTCTCAAAATTACTAAACTTTTTTATTTTTTGCTAACTGAAATAAATTTTACTCGTATTATTATTGCAATATTTTCTATTTGTAATTTAAAAAAATTTAATAATATGATCTCAATCGAAAATGAAAAAAAAATGAAATTGGTTTTCACAAGATCTAATTCAGATGTATATAATCAACCCGAATTTTTATCGCAAAATATAAAATGCGGCGCAATATTGCTTCTATGCTTACATACAAACATGTCGTATTCTATACCATCAAAAATATAAAATATAAACCAACCACACAATTGTTTTATTAAGTAATTTCCTCAATTTAAAGTGATTTACATTAATATCATTGAATTTTAGTAGGTATTTTGTGCTGAATTTTATGCATTGTACCCCCTCAATTCTTCAGAAAATTTATAATCAATACAAACAAGTACAAAATCTGAACATAAGTCAAAATACAAATTAAACCAATTTAACACAAAAAATAATTTTTTTTAAAGTAAAATGGAAATAGTAAAGTAAAGAATACTTATCACTTTTAATTCACTCGAAAAAACTATAATAGTGTCATTAAAACGCTTCAACCATTTCTTATTTTAAGCATTCAATCAGCGCCTATCGAAACATCGTGAAGGTGAAAACAGCGTCTTCATGTCTACTATGAACGAACATATCCATTATCCCGGACATAAAGTATCGGGGTCAACAGTTTAAAGACTGTATTCTAAGTACTTAACACACTAAACGGGGAAGTAGAGGAAATATCAATACGCTTTTTGATCTAATGTAAAAACTGTCATGTGCACCAAGTGCCTTGGACTTTTAACTATACTTGGACACTTAGCTTACTCATATTTTTATTTATTATTTTTTTTCAATTGAAAAACAGAACAGTAACGACACAATAAACAATGGTTGTTTTCGTCATGCATTGAATTTCAAATCTTTATCTCATTTGAATTCATTCGAGCATTATTAATAATTTTAAATAATTAAATAATGTAAGGCATCATTTGTTTATTGATCAATAGATATGTATTTATGGTCTTATGAAAATTTTTATGGCTTTTTGAAGAAATCATTTGAAAAACGAAATGATAGATGAAAAAAGTTTAATTTAAAATCCCAATTTTTGTTTTCCATTTTTTCCACATTCGTTAGCAAATTTGATAAAGTTGGGTCAAACCAATGGTTTGTATTGTAGCACTTTTCCCTTCAACAAGTGAAAATACTGCTTTTAAAAACAGTCTATGTATATCCACCACACTATTAAAATTATTTTCATTTATAAACGAAACTATTTCTAGCATTGCATATATTTAGGATGAACCATTTATGCAGTCTTTGAAATAAAGCAAAAATTAATATAAAGAGGGGTTAACATAATGCTCGATTTTAAGGGTTAATTGTGTGAGTTAAGAAAAATAATTTAATTTTTTAATGTCGTGGAATTTACCGTTAAATTTTTGCGTTTATAGAAATTTGAAAAAGCTTGCGGTTTCAGAAATATAAGGTGTCAAAAATGCAAATTTTACAAATTTCAAGAGGCCATAACTTGAGAGGGGGTGGAGATGGAAAAAAATTTTCTTCTAAAGAAATGAACTACTTGTTAATGTCTAAAAGCCCCTAAAATTTCAAGCTTCTACAGGCTGGGGTCTAGAAGAAAAACGACATCAAAAATTTGGAAAAAAAGGACTGTAGATAACGGTAAATTTGAACGGCCATTTTGTTTTTCTAAAGTTTAACTATAGTATACCGCGGTAGGAGAAGCAAGCCACTGCCTTTCTGCGTTTGCAAAATTTCAAAAATGCTTATGGTTTCATTGCAACAAATATTTAAAATAGGCCATTTTTAGTGCTTTGGGTAGGTATAACTTCTGGAGGGGGGGAGATAGGTACAAATTTTGTTCTACAAAAATAAGTTTCTAGTAAAGATCTATGTACATATTAAATTTCAGCTTTCTATCTTTAAGAATGTAGAAGTTTTGTAAACAGACAAACGGACAGACGGACGGGCGGACGGACGGACGGACGGACGGACAGAGTGAAACTAATAAGCACTTTTTTTCAAAAAATTTTGGGAAAAGTGCTAAAAATACACATTACGATAATTAAACAAATTTTAAATGTGTATGGTAAAGTTTACTGTATTGATTGCAAAACTAATTACAACGAACTTCTAGCGAATGAATAAAATGTACATAAGTTATTGTTCAAAAATTTTCTTCTATGTTTTATTCAAATCTGTATGCATTTTTAAAATAAATATTTTAAAGCAACATTACGATAAAAAGAAATATTTCTGCAAAATACGAACCCTCATTTAATTTTTTTAAACATTTGCAAGATATTAAAAATCAAAAGATGAGAAATATTGTGAAAGTCTTCGGAATAAAAAATCTAATAAATCTTTTATTGTAAATCTTTAACTCGCGAACATGTAACTTAAATTTTTTTTTAATTTGAAAGTATAATTAAAAATTTAATCACACGCTTAATAACTGATGCCATTAAGTAAAAAGTGAAAACGATGACTTAACATTTTCACTTCATTAGAAAAAAAAGGAAATCTAATAAATGACAGGTGAAATTCATAATTATGATGCACATTTAATATGTAAATGATAATAAGAAAAGGTTAATGACTTTGTAGGGCAATTTATCAATTTAGAAAGTATTTAACAGGAAATTTTTCAATGTACGCTTAACGGTAAACGATTAATTTTTCTTAAAATTTTTAATTATTTCCGATTAATTAATAAGTAATTAATCAAATTCTTCTTGAAGATTGAAGCAAATTTCCGAAAAAATATTATACAATTTTAATATTCAAATTGTTGTTAATAATTATGACTATATAAAAAGATTTAATAATTTGCGAGATAGGTTGAATATATTTTCAATAAATGACTTTAGAAGAATCTGCCCATCGCCATCGCCAACTTCTACCAAAAATGATTTGTGAAAAGAATAGAATAAAGCAGGCAGACTGCGAGTGTATTCATTTTTCTTTAAATAAGTGTATACTTCGATTAAAAACATTCTCAATGTTAAAGAAGACGTAAAAAGAACTCATAAAATGATCTAAGGAAAATCTTAGTTTACCATTGTTAATTATTTAGTTTGTATTATTTTGCAAAATCAATTATCAAGTTTTGTATCAGAGAATGATAATTTTTATTCTTCAAATTATCATCTGATGGTATCAAGGTTTTGTTAATTCAATTATTTAAATTATCTTTAAATTACTCGAAAAATCTTAAATTAAAATTATGTAGTTAAAAATGAAAACAGATTTTTTTTATTATTATATAAACAAATTCACGATTATTTCATCTGCGGAATATTTCATTTGTGGAATATATGAAATTTTATATTGTATTGCAAAATAAAAAAAAATTTGTACGTAATATAAAACTACTTTGTTTTTTTTTCGTATTATTTTAATTTTAATTTTGTGAAATATAAGTGAATGGCAGGTCATATTAATTTAGCGCCATTTTTCTGTTCTCTCTATTTATTTAAAATAATTTAAAAATTACAAAATCTAAACATTTCTAATAAAAAAAAGAATTCAATTTCAAAATGATGACACATCATTATTAAACCATATCATAGTGTGTATCTATGTACATATGTATGTATATGAATATGTTAACGTTATTGTCCGACAATAAAAAAATTATTTTAAAACTTCATGACCTTCAATTACATTACGTAGACGTTTTGAATTAAAAATATAGCTTTTCTCAGCAAAATTAATTGTTTAATTTTTTAGTAGAAATATTAAAGCAGATATTAAGATGCACACAACTAATTTACACTTACCCTTTCCACCATGGCTCTCTTCGTTTATCACCAAAACCAGCGAATCCAGCAAAGTTCGAAAAGAATGGATGACTTTCAAAAATAGGTATTGTATGATGGAAGAAGAAATTTGAATCTGGTTTATGAGGAACATCGGATGTTATAACATCAACTTCTGCAAAATATAATGAAGAAAGAGTGTAAAATATGAAATGTTTCCTAGATACTTTATCAAGATAATTAATTGTATATAGAAAAATATTTTATTTATAAAACTTTTTTTTTAGTGCGTTTATGCCAAAGATTTCAACTCTTAATCTCCTCTACAAATGATTTTCTTCGATTGCAATTGAAGATTTTAATCAATTGAATAAAAAATTGACGGTAGTTTCAGAAAAAACATATTCTTTTTTCTACATCATATAAAAACGCTTATTGCATTAAACTCTTTTAAGATGTTACAGAAACCTAAGGTTTTTGGAAATTTAAATTTTATTTAAAATATATTTGTATCAGTTAAATGGATTACCGTTTAATAATAAATAGGAATCTTTATTTTGACCCACGAAAATATTTTTTCTATACTTAAAAAAAATAAGATTGTGGTTTCATAAGATTCATACTTTTCATACTTTTATTTTCTTTAGACACCAGGTTTATATTATGTTGGAAAATAACAATTTTAAAAACTTTAAATTTCTAAGAATCCGAATATCTAAATTTACAAGAGTTAAAGCAATTCTTAAGAGAATTTATTAAGATCTTTAATCTCCATTTCAACAATTTCATTTCGTTCATAGTGCGGAATCTAAACTGAAGGCGTCTTTTTTAATAAATTTCATTACTAAGCGCCAACTTATCTATGTATATATACTTACCAAATGGTTCACGATCTTCTTCAGATGATGTACCTTCTGGTTTTGCGTTATCATTTGTTACAGTAGCCACTGCAATTGTTGGTTCATCAATATTACCACTATTTCCTAGGCTACCATCAACATTTCTTGATTCAATTGAAAAATCTGCGTCACTGAAACCATTTAAATTAAAATCTTTATTAAAATCATTCCAAAATCTTGGTAATAATGTTTGATGATAATTTAATGGTGGTGTGTTTATAGCATGATTTGTTGGTGATGATATTGTACCAACATCAGCCATTCTTCTAACAATTGTCGATGGTATTTGTGGTGGTATTAACGGTTGTTGTGGTTGTAGTTGTGGTATATGCCAATTATCAAAACGTGGTGTAAAAAAATTTGAATGTGCATTTCTGTATAATATAATAATATTTGAAAACAAAAAAAAAAATTACAAAAATGAATGATATGGTGGGTAAATATTTACAATGTTGTATAAGTTTTATAATGATGAAATACAAATAATGCTATATATATCTATATTTAAAAAAAAGTATGCATATGTATTTAATGTATATAAAAAATAAAAAAAAATGTATATAAAGTGTGTGTTCATATAATATGTACATTTGAAATTTGTGATAAGTTTATAGCGATCATGTAATTTTACATTTTGAGATGATGATTATGTTATGTAAGTAAGTAAATGAGTAATGAGTAACCGCATTCAATCGTCATTTACACAAAATACCATCTGATAAAGTCAAATTCAATTCTCATATTGATTATGTTGCAGACTATGTTTTTTTTAACAAACCTTAAAACTATAAAAATCTAATAATTTATTTGAAATAGCAATATAGTTTTGCAATTTTTTTGAAACTTAAATTTCATGTTGACATATTTCATTGAAAACTGTCTTAATGCAGAAATCAAAGCTAAATAAATAAATGAAAATGCATATTGTAATATAAACAATCACAAATAAAAAAATAATTAATTTTTCAATTTAGATAACTAGGAAGTGTACTAAAGTATACACTTTTATCAGGATAAAATAAGAGTCATTGGATTCTTGCAACCAAAACAAATAAAATTCTGTGGTAATAAAGTAAAGCAATGAAAATACACATTTTATATATATGTATGTATTATATATACACATACGATCTCAGTCCTTTCTCTTTGCTATTTAAAGCGTAAATTAAAATTACAATCTAATTAAATTAAAGTTTATAAAAGAATAAATTAATTATCCATTTATAAGTATGTCAATTATTTTAAGATTAATTAATTAATTGTTTTTAATGACATTTTCATTCAATATAATAGAAAACAAATACACCAAAAAATATTATGCCATGCCTTTCTAAAAATTTAAAAAAAAAATCAAAATTATTCATCGGTATCTCATTTTCGTTATAAAAACTTATATAAACGGTTTTTATTGCAAGGTTATTATTGCAAAACCTTTTCCGAAAATTTCAATGTTGTTAATGTTAAATTTAATGTTTCTAATGTTTAAAATTTAATGTTTACTTTCTAAATCTATAATTATTTTATTAAAGTAAAAATTAATTTAAATCCAGATAAAATTGAAAATATCTCATTAATCAACATTTTTCATTTTATTATTTCTTATGCTAAAATTAATTTGGTTTTATTACAATATTACAAACATTTTATTTAATGAACCTAATTAGTTGATTGATGTCTCTTATATACGACAATTATATAAAATATTATTTCTCATAAATCAGATCGTCAGGTCCTTAAATAATAAATTACAGTGTCCATTGTGGAAAATAACACTTCATTGCACTGTATGTATATATACTTTTTATATGTTATTATTTCTATACATATATACAATACCAATGAAAACATCTTTAAAATGTACACACTCGTATAAACTAAACTTTTGTTAAGAATGACAGGATTTTAACTTTTATGTTAATTCCAAACCGAGTTAAAATAGTAATATACATATGTACATATGAATTTTATATGAATTTATGAGCCAAAAATTTTACGCTTCACTTCGAACCAAAAATGTCGTATACAAATTTCGATCATCATTGACTCAAAATCGTGTGTTTTTACATTTTTGAGAATTTAGTTTAAAATCGAGATAAGAATTTATAATTTTCCTCAACAATTATTGCCAAAGAAATTCGTATTCAAAGAAGAAAAAAATCTTTCACAATGCATAAATTAAATTTTGGATTTGCCCAATAAATTTCTTTTAATTTCCAGAAATTATTTCTTATTATAATTGTATAATGTTTTTTTAAAAAAGTAATAATAAAAAACAATAACAGATGTAGGTGCCATATGTGTTGAATAAAAAACAAATGAGTATATGAGTGTGTAATAAATAATAATTAATGGATAATTTAAATGAAAATTTGTTTAAACAAAGAAAGCCGTTTCGAAGACACAAAATGACTGAATCACGACTTATTTATCATTTTTTTAATATTATTGCCCCTTTTTCTTACGTTTGGGACTAGAATTAATATTTGTTTATAAATTGTATTAAAAATTAATTTTGAACAAAATGTTTGCTTAAGTTTTCACAAACTAATACTATTAAACTGTTGCATTGTTTTTAAATAAAATATATCTGTTGCATTAATTTTTAATTAAAATTGCCTCTTAGTTTAGTTTCTCTGTCTGATGGCAATTTTCTTGAAATTATTCAACAAAAGAATATCGTTTAACGATTCCATAAAAGTGGTCTCTATTAAAAGCCCAATTTCCTGAATCAAACTAACTTCCAAATCTTTTTGATTTTTCTTCTCTTACTAAACTCTAATATAAATTTTCATAAAGATTATTTAAACTGAAATGCAAGAGTGCACAGAATAGCAAATTTTAATTTCAGAACTGAAACCAAATTTTCAAAAATTATTTTTCAACTTTTATTTCAATAATCTCTGATTAAAATTATTTAACCTCAGCCCTTTTTCTCACTACACATACATACAAGAATATCAAAAGTTTTTAATTCATTCCTACTTTTATAATAAAATATATGTTTTTTAAATTTAACCATGAACTCGTGACTTTCACAAATTAAGAATTTCACACTTCAAATTCGATTACAATTTATTTATTATTGAATATTATTTGACATGTAAATGTATAACAAAACTTATATAACATTTTTTCGTATAAATATTTTTGACTTGTGTACTGAATTATATCCGGAAACATTTTATTATAAATTAATTATTCAAAGCACATTTTATTAGAGTTTATTAAATAATATAATGTTTTTAAATTAGAAGCTTAGGTTCCAAAATGATTTACAAAATACAACTGATTTAATAGGATTTTTGATTTAATTAATAAATATGAACTCTAAATATGAGCGGAAAGATTATGTATTTTCTTTACTTTTGGTTTTGAGTGACAAATTGCCTAAAACTACCAAAACATAAACAAAACATATGTACCTATACATAATCTTGTTTATAATTTTAATATAATTTGAATTTTTATAAATTGAATATAATTTAATTTAATTTTCACCATATTTATAAAAGTCTGCCTTGTGGGGAAAGTTACATAACAATTTGCTATACAACAAATTAAAAGAAATAATTTTCTTCAATTTTGCCAAAACATAAATTAAAATATTAAAGAATTCCGCCTTCAATGTCAAATTTAAGTCAAATTTTTAATTTTAAATTCAATTAACATCGAAATAAATGATAAAATATTATTATTATGGTTACATTTTGCAATATTATGACAAACGCACCTGACTTATATTTTTTCAATGATTTGAATACATAATGAAGATCAACCGAAGCAGATTAAATCATAATAAAGTTAACAAAAAAATTAGTATCTACATACATATATAGATACGTACATACATATTTATAGATACATACATACATACATTAGATACGTATACATATCTAACAAATCAACAATAAATTGAAACTGATTCACGAAAAACTAGATATATTTTTGATATATTACCTTTTTTAATTAATTAAAAAAAACAAATTTAAATTTCTGCGGTAATTGAGATTTAAAAAATTAAACACGGACAGAATAACAATACTTAAAATATGCTAAATAACAAAAAATTAAGTGCTAAAATTGGTAACAAGAAGAAATGTACAATAAAAGAATTACAATATGGTCGAATATATTTTTGTAGTAAATAAACCATGATGTTCAAAAACTTTCTATGTTGGTATATATAGGTAACACTCATACATATATATATGCAAACTATTGACAACTTCCCTATAATTTTTACTGCCGAATACTGTTAAAATTTTAAGGGTTTAAAACAATAACATCGTGTCATAACAAAATATATATTCATTTCAAAAAACATTTCGGCACTTACAAAGCAGAATTACCTTGTATGGATTTTCTACTTTATATATATGCATATATATATATATATATATATATATATATATGTACATATATGTAAATGAATGAGTTCAATCATATAAAAAATATATTTGTTATGCTAAAAGCGAATAAAAAACAATTATTTTCTTTGATAAAATAATTATGTCACTATTAATGGTTTAACTATTTGGAATATCATATTGTAATTAAGTGTTTAAAGTATCATCAAAAATAAAAAGTTCATTTATAATACAATACAGAGTCAGAAATAAAATAAAAATTGTCAATTCAACATTCAAACAATCTTCCACCTAAATATTATTATAAAAATACTAAATACCGGAAATAGTATGAAATAAGAGCTTATTACATACTTATTAGGAGAAATGACAAGAATTGAAAAATGTTAAGACCAGTAATTATATTTTTTAATTTCGCACATATAAATGGAGGAAGTGGAAAAAAATGTTCTTATAGCGAAATAAATTATATATCAATTTGTCAACAAATAAATGTCAACAAGCTGCAACAAGAAGAAAATGTCAGACGCCTACAGCTTACCATCTAAGAGAAAAATTATGTTAAAAATTCAAAAACCACGGGCTTAAGATACCGATTAAATTGGACGTCCACTTGTGTATTGTAATGTTTGAATATACTGTTTTGCGGTAGAAGAAGCCAGTCGTTATTTTTTCTGCGTAAAGAAAAGAGTTTTAATGGATTTAAAAAAAATGGTTGTAGTTTCGCTACAACAATTATTAAAAAATGGCAATTTTTGGGAATA